TAGGTTTGGCAGGGTTTGGTAGACCAGCGGTTGGGGTGAAGACGGGCGTGTTGGAGTTTGTTAAAGGCAGTTTTGACTGAGAGTTAAACTCTGAATGGTGGGGGTGGGGCACAGGCTTAAACAGATAGCAGCAGAATGAGATAAGCGTGTCTTGGAGGGAGAGAGAATTTAAGGGAGTTGGGCTGGGTCTGCTTTAGAACTGTTTTAGGAGGGGCTGCAGGTAAAGACAAAGGAATGTTGAGAAGCTGGGTTAAGGGGGGTGGTGAAAAAGGTATAGTGGAAGGGAGAATGTGGGACAAGAGAGTATAGGAGTTGGGAGCTACTGGGTGTATGGGGATAACAGCTTCGTTAATGAGGCACAGGTCCTGGACCAAGCGATAAGTACCATTTGGTTTTTTACTGGTAAGCTTGTAGTGTTGCAGGGAGAGTGGGTAAGAGTAATGAGGTTGTTAGAAAGGAGGCATTGTATGTTGGATTAACATTGGGAAGCAATGGGGTCTGTAGGGCCAGTTCTTCCAGGTTGGGTAAAAGAAGTGGAAGGATCAGAGGTGCTGTGAGACCAAAAGTAAGGTGTAAGGAGGCTCCTAACTTATTTAAAATGTTTCTTCCCAACAGAGGGACCGGGCACAAGGATTCTAAAGAGGAATGAGTAAAGGGCTAGTACACCTGGGGCAGGTAGGCTTGCAATCAATATCCATGACCGAGATTGAGGAAGGACTGCCTAGCCCTGAAAAGGAGGGCAGGTCAGAAAAGATAGCTAGCTTCCGTGCAAGAAGGAAATTACTTACCCAATACCTTGAGCAATGCCCCAGGCTTGGTGAGGGTCCCGAGGGTCCAGTCAGGCTCTCCTCAGACTTCAGCCAATCCCAGCAGGGCCAACAGCGGGTCAGGAATTGGAAGAAAAGTCCCCCCACGTGGAGACGCAAAGGGACTGTCGCTTTTCCAAGGACAGTCGGACTTCCAATGTCCACTTTGACCGCACGCCCAGCAGGGTTTGGTTGGCGCTTTAGGCCTGGGGCACTTCTGTGACCTATGCCCTTCTCTGCACTTGAAGCAGGCACCAGGTGGAGGTCGTTGTTCCCATACACCCTTGCCCCCACGCTGCCCTTCTGGGACCTCAGGGGAATCGCCAACCGCAGGGCTGCTACTAAGGCTTGAGTTTGAAAATTTACCTTCTGCCAGAACCAGGCATCACAGGCTGACTCTGCCTGCTCCTCATGGCTGTTAAAACCTTAAATGCCATATTCGATAAATCTTGGATTGGGGTTTAAGGGCCTTTTTCTGCTTTTTTAAAGCTTTTAATGTAAAACAGCAGTTAAGCAGCTTAAAAAGGTGGCTGGATTCTCGTCAGGCTTTTGAGTGATCTTAAAAATTGACTCCTATATGGGAAATGGCCTGAAGCCAAGCCAGGACATACTGAAGCATTTTATTACGGTGGGCATGTCTGTCCCTACCTGCTTGATTGTCAGTTTGATAACTCTAACCAAGTTTTTGTCTGGGAACTGCCTAGGTTAGGGTTGGTCAAATGAACCTGGTTGGAGTGCTGCTGATCAGTGAGAAAAATGCGTTCCCTTTTACCTGTGGTTATAGGATAGAGGAAAGGATGACAAAAATATCATGCCAGGACAAATCATAAGCTTGAGTTAAATATCGAAACTCCTTAATATAGGTGGTGGGATCATTATAAAGGAGCCTAAATGCTTTTTTTAAATAATCATATTATTAGGGGCTCATACAACTCATCACAATCCATACATACATCGTTTGTGTCCAGCACAGTAGTACATATGTTGACTTCATCTTTCTCACAACACCTGCTTTCCACTTGAGCCCTTGGTGTCAGCTCCTCATTTCCCCACTCCCTCC